AAGAGCTTTTTACTTAAAGCTGTTTAATGTAATTAGATGAAACATTATTAATGCTTTGATCCTTTATTTCCCAGAGTTATTTTTTTCAATACTTACAATCACAATATGGTATCCAAAATAGTTTTATAATAATTCTGTATGTCGTTTCTGTTGTATAACTTGCACGCAGCCCAAAGTAAAGATGTTAGAAGATTTTTTTTTTTTCTAGGTCAAGAATTTCAGGATCAGGAAATAATTTTCTAGTATTCTAGTATACCTAGCAACCTCATATTTGTGATTATCAATTCTTACATCCCTTTTAAGATGCTGCTTGGTACATTTCAAGTGTTTTCTTTGCCCTGTGAGCTGGTACAAGATGAATGAAGGATGTGAATTCTGCCTTTGTTCCCTTGTTGGGCTGAAATGAATTGTACACTGAGGGCAGTAGCAAGATGCCTGTCACCCTCTACTCCTCCAACCCATCACAAAAGATTAGGGGCTGCAATTGTCATGGGTCCTACTGCAACAGTGTGCTTGAACAGCAAAGAGGGGAAGGACACCTCTTGTTTCTTGAAGAGGCAGTGTGTTCTGCTGTAGAGACTATGCAATGTGAACAGAAACCTAATAGATGAGGACATGGCAAGAAAAGGTCCAGCTTTTGATCATAGGATATTCATAAAGTCCATTTTGTTTTCTAGTACAAGAGTGACTAAATAATCTCTAGTCCTGGGAGGACTGTCAGATTCAAGTTATCAGCTATTATTAGAAGTAAAACAATTATTCTTACTTGCATGGAAATGGGGACCTAGCAATGCCAGTTTAAAAATTAATATCTTTCTTTTCATAATTATACCTTATGCTATACGAAAACCTGTGGGGGATGGTCCTTGAGGTTATTTGCTGCATTTGACTGGTTAAACATTGGAACAGGCTGCCCAGGGAAGTGGTTGAGTCACCATCCCTGGAGGTATTTAAAAGACTGGTAGATGAGGCGCTTAGGGACATGGTTTAGTAGGCATGGTGGTGTTGGGTTGACGGTTGGACTCGATGATCTTAGAGGTCTCTTCCAACCTTAATGATTCTATGATTTAGAAAGATGCACTTCAGACTGGATACAGTAGATAGGTTGCCATATAGCTCTCTCTCTCTCATATAAATTCACACACACACTTTGTCCTGAGTGGTGGAGGAAACATAACCCTATTTGTTCTTCAAGTGAAAAAAAGAAAATTATGGTTAAGAGTTTTTCTCTAGCTTTTGTGACATATTCAGGTTTAAAAAGAAAAAAAAGAAAAACATTTAAAGGCACAGTAGGTAATGGGTTTGGATGAGGAATTTTTCTTTGATCTCACTTATTTGGATAAGCAACTTTGGTTTAGAGAAGTCTTGACTGCATCTGTGTACATGTATGTTTGTAAAATATATATATATCAAAGGATTATACTATTTGGGTAAGAACATGTTGCAAAGGCCATATTATTATGTTTTTGAAAAGAAGTATGTCTATTTCTAGCTTTATCTTTTTCTTTTCCAGTTTGTATGATTTCTATCTACCTGTCCTTCTCAGGATGTAGCCTGTTTCCAAGGAGGACTGCAGAGGGGATTGCCAAGGGCAAGAAACAAACCTGAATATCGATATAGGTCTGTCATAGTTGGATAATTACCCTCAAAAACACCTTCTTATATGTCCTAATTATTAATGATCCATGGACAAATTTTTGTGATGAAATGTAGAAGATCCTTCCTCCTCCTCCTTAGACTTAGCTGAGTAGGTCTCAGAAAGGCTTTCTGGCTAAAATGTCTTTCAAACG